ATTTTTAGTTAGTTTATAGTTTTCAATGTTTATATATTTTATTTCAAATTTGGGCTTGTAAAAATTGTAAATATTTTATTTTGTATTAAGATCCGAAGTTTCAATTATATTGTTATAGTTTTTCAAATTCGAAGTTAACAATTTACTTTGTAAATATTTTGTTTTGTATTCTATTTGCCTCTAGCCTTTAATCTTATTAATTTAACATAATGAACGTTGATATTTCCAAAAAAAAAAATTGTACTCATGTGAATTTTACCATATTTTCAAAAATTTCTATTCATTTAACATTTTTTAAGTTTAGCTTATCACACAGGTAAGTGAAAAAATATTTGATCTTTTTTCCAAATACCGTATAGTTGTAAAAAACCAAAAAACCGAAAAAAACCGAAAGAACCGACTAAAGCCGAAACCAAAAAAACTAACTTTATGTGGTTTGATTTAGTTTTTAGATTTAATAAACCGACATAATTGGTATAGGTTTTTTTTAATGAAAAATCAAACCAAACCGACCATGTACACCCCTAGCGCTAGCAGTGCGCCCGGGTGGTCCGCCCCTACCCATTTTTCGTCGTTTAGCCCGTCTGAGTCCTTCTAAAGTGTACTAACACTTTCTATCGATTATAACTACTCTAAATGACTTCTAAACATCTAAAAATCATTCAGAAACATGAATCATAACCTTGAATCCATAAACTCAATTCAAGAAAAGTTAAGAGCCAAGTCTAAAAAGTTCATAGAGTCTTTTCAAGAAGTCTTTTGCAAATGCTTTAAACTTGTTTTAAGACATGAGTTTTGAGTTGAGTAAATAGTAACAAATGAAGTTCATTTTCTTCAAAAGAGTATATGAGAACTATGTATTCCCAAAGAGTAAATGTTGTCACATTTAAGCAAGAAAGGAAACACCGATTTCCAAAAGAGCCTTTGAGCTAGTTTTCAGTAAATAGTAAATGTTTTCACATTTAAGCAAGAGAGGAAACACTGATTTCCAAGAGAGCCTTTGGGCTAATTTTTGATAAATTATCTCAAATCACAGAAAAAGTTATGTTTTTAAAAATATGAGCTAGTTATATTTTTGGGAGTAGTATTGAACATCGATTTGGGAACAAGTTGAGTCCAGATAATTCATGGTCTCCATAAACCGTGTAGCCAACATGGGTAGAAAATGATCATACTTTTTAGATGATTCCTTAGTGCTTTTCAGCATAGACTAGTGGATCCACTTAGTAGTTAGGTTCTATACCTCCGGCAAGGTATAGGACGGCCCTGACAGCGTGAGGCAAGACGTTGTATCATCACATAACTCATAGTGATGTTATCGGTTAGAGAAACTTCTACAGTGATATTTTGTATTCTTACATACACAGAGTTTACTTGTATTTTCATATACAAACATAGTTTAAATTGTATCTTTGCATACAAACTGAGTTACTATTGTACCATTTCAATACACAGAGTTTTTATCCATGTTTTAGAAGTTTTTCTTTATATTGCATTTATATTATTGCTTTATATTGAAATGAGTTGAGTTGAGTTGAGACCAGGTATGTTCTTTCAGTTCCTTTCAAGCTTATGTCTTGTTTTAGAATTCCCCTGGCATGCTCATACATTCAATGTACTGTTGCCATTTGGCCTGCATCTTTTATGATGCAGATACATGTAACCAGGATCAACATCCAACGCTTCATTGATCCAGTTGAGCTTCAAATTTGTTGGTGAGCCTCGTTGCTTTCGGAGGATTCCCCTTTTCATTACTTTATCATTTTAGTTCATTAGGATATCGTGGGTCTTGTCCCGACGTCCATCTCAGTTATTAGAGGTTTCATAGACAGTTAGTGATTGCTAGTTCACGAGTCTTTTCCATTTATTGATGTTGAGACTTGAGTTGCCATTTTGTCTAGTTGAATGTTTCTTTTAAGACATTCTAAGTTTATTGTATGAGTCTATCTTTTGAGATTTTTTTCTTGTCATTTAAGTCTTCTACTAAGAGTTAAGCCAGGCCAAGGGTTCGCTTGGGGCTAGCAATGGTTCTCGAGTGCCAGTTCTGCCCAGAGTGTAGGCTCGGGGAGTGACAATGAAAAACTTATTGGACTGATATTTATTGTCATCGCAAAGCACTAACTTCTCAAAATTGTTTTCAAATTCTGAACGTAAGAATTTCCTTAATTTTCTAGAGATGAAATATGAATTTGGGTAGGAAAAAAGATTCTTTTAGTACCTTCTTTTAATATCATTGGATCAGAATAGTGAATAAGTAGAAACCACATTTGAGTGACACATGTGTCTCTGTATATATGTGATAAAAATCCTTAGAGGAAAATACAAGTACGAATTAATGAATGATTAACTTATTGGACTGATATTTATTGTCAAGCACTAACTTCTAAAAATTATTTTCAAATTATGAACGTGAAACTATCCTTTATTTTCTACAGATGAAATCTGAATTATTGGAGGGAAAAAGTTTCTTTTAGTGACTTTTTTTAATATCATTGGATCAGTGAATAAGCAGAAACCACGTTTGAGTGAACCCACGAGTAGGTAAAAAAAGAGTAAATCAAAATATTGCAAGGATAGAAAGTTAATAAAGAGCAAAATATGTTTTTTTTAATATATTTTTATGTTATGATTACACAAAAGAATTTGCAAATAAAATTGCTTATGTTATAACCAATCCATAAATTATGTAAAAAATACATTTGGGAAAAGAAATTATTAGCATTCTTTTGAAAAATATATCGAAAATTGGAGACAAGACAAACTTAACAACTTTCAAATACACGAAATCAAATACACCTCAGCATCTTCACAATGCTAAACTTTGTAACAATGCTTGCAACCTAGTGTGCTTAGAGATTATGATTGGTACAATTTGTTCACCAAACATTACTTGTGTGATATCTTATTTTTCGTTAAAATTCGAACTTGCTCAATAACTACAAATAACGCTTGAGGTTTACTAGGAAGAAGAAGGAGCGTAGAAAATTTATAGTTTAAAAATTAGAGGAAACCTCTCTATTTATAACCATCAAATGGTAGTATGAACAAATGCTTATTAGAAAAGTCACAACATTCAGAAAAATGACAACTCTTTGGAAAAGTCATAACCCTTCGGAAAAGTCACAACCTTTCAGAAAAGTCACTATAGACCGGAAAAGGCACAATCCTTCGAAAAAGTCACAACTTATCAGAAAACTCACAACCCTTCAATGTTAAAATTAAAATGTGTTTGCTTTTAATATAAATAAATAAATATGAATATAAAATAGAAGATATACTAATTGAGTATTGAGTGTTTTTAGTTGCGGGTATTACAATAATTTAACATTAAAGTTAGAAAGTTCATGATTTTATGGTAGTATAGATATAGATAGAAATAGATATAGATATAAAAGATGATATAGATAGATAAGGAAATTTTTTTGTTAGATATTCAAACAAATTATAAGAAAATGAAATTCAAATTTTAAATTTAATAAGAATTGAGTGGGTATAATTCGATTTTTAGTTCATTGCAGTCCAACCCACTTTAGCCCAAATAACATTTAGTCGGACCAATAATGTGTTCATTTATTAACGGGCTTCTTACGTAATTGTACAAGTGATAAGAACATTTTAACAACTATAATTGTATGTATATTATTTAATAAATATAATGTATAAATAGTTATGTATGTGTCGATATTGTATAAAAATGTTTAGTTGTGTATCTACATATCAAAGATGTGTATTTATATAAAACATTTTTATACTATATTTATATTGCAAAAGTTCATCTTCCTCAACGAAGTAAATTCTTTTTTCAATTACAACTAATTCAAATCTCTTCTAAACAATCCCAATTTTTAGTTATGAGCTTCTTTCAACGTTTCAATCTTTTTGTTCTTTTACTCATTTGAAACGATTCACATAAATTTACGGCATGTCAAATTTTAAAATTTGAGCTACAAAATTCTTCAACAATGACCCTTCGAGGTGGCCCAGTTGTTTGGGCTTGAGACTTTCATGTGGAGGTCTCAAGTTCGAAACCCCTTGCCAGCGAAAGTAAGGGGTTTGCCTTCTGGGTCGAGCTCATCGCACCGAGCTTGCGTAGTGCGGGTTACCTCTCCTATGTAGTTTGCGAGCTATTGTATAGGAGCGGGGGTTTTACCCTGTGCACACCCAAAGGGTAGCGGCTGCGGGTTTCCCTTGTTATAAAAAAAAAATAAAAAAAAAATCTTCAACAATGGATTTCAATGCATAACAACTCAAATCTTCCTCTAAACAACTCAAATTTTAGATAGTATCTCATCTCAGTATTTCGACTCCTTTGATATATTATTCACTCAAAACGATTTACGTTTATAACAAGTTAAAATTTTAAAATGGTTCACATTTTCCTTCTTGTGTTCATCAATGGCGGATGACGATAAAAGTGAAATTTAAAATCTTTAGTTGAAAGTTATGCTTTAAATTCAAAAGCAAAGGAAGGTTGACCAAAATTCAACAATTTAATTATCCCAAAAAAGAAAAAAAAAGAAATATTTGTGTCTTCCCTTGAAGTTAAAGTCTTGAATTTCAAATACACGAGTCACGAGTGAGATAACATACACAAATAGAATACTATCATTAAAATACATTTCTTTTATAAGAAGAAAAAAGTGACAATTAAGCTATTTTACGTAAAAAAAATGTTTCTCAAATTCAGCTCGATCCTCCTATTCGACAACACTCATAGTGATGGTCATAACCCTTTTGAATGGATCATGACATGATGTCACATATTCAAATTCAAGATGAATAGCATATTCTTTGGAGATAATATATACGTACACTTCAAATAAAAATATAGGAGTAAGAATATACCTACAAAATTTAGAATTCGTTTGATATAGCGTATAAAAATTATTAAATAAGATGTATTAATAATACTGATGATTTAGTGTTTTTTTAAAAAAAATCGTTATAAAATATGATTGAAAGAATGTGAAAAATACATTGAAGATCAATTGTATCTTTAATTATGAAAAATGCATGAAATATTTTCTCTACATTTTCAAGTAATTATACATCTACCCTAATTATTTGTTCTCCTTCTATTTATTTTTATAAAAAAATTCCTTTATTTGGAAAGTTTTTTGAGAAATTTTCATTTTTATTTTCCTACCAATTATAATTTCACCTCTTTATTCCTTTTTTTTCTTTCTTTTTTGGCCCTTTGTTGCGTTTTTTCTCCATTAGATTCTGCCTCTTCTCTTGACTTTACCTCTGCTGCCTCTTCTTGTTTTTTCATCCATCTTCTGCTTCTTCTCCTTTTTCCTAATCGATCTCTGCACGAATCCCAAAAAATCCTTCTTTTTTTTTGAAATAGTCAGCTATGACTCTTGGTTCAGGAGGATCTAGTGTTGTGGGTGAGTCAATTTTTACATCCCCAAATCTCTTGTTGTTCTGCTATGAGTTTTTTTTGTGTCAAATCTGATCATGGGTTGTTTAAATTTCACATCTTTATTGCATGGTTTATGTTTATATGAGTGTTATTCTTGTTATCAAAGATTACAACTTTGAAATCTTGTTTTTTTATTATGTGGGGTTTTCTATTTTTCGGACTTTATTGATTGAGGTGTAGTGAATTCAGTAATTGTAGTGAGTGGATTGAAATATCTAGTAGATTTAGGATTTAAGTAAGGATATCTGCAAAGGGGTGTAACAATAAAGTTGTTGTCATGTGATCAAGAGGAGTTGTGGACACAGCCTCTTGCAGTAATGCAAGGTAAGGCTGCGTATGATAGATGGCCTCAAGCAAGGACAGCGGGGAAGGGGAGCTTTGGTGTAATTGGTAAAGTTGTTGTCACATGATCAAGAGGTCACAGGTTTGAGTTGGGGACACAGCCTCTTGCAGTAATGCAGGGTAAGGCCGCGTATGATTGACCCTTGTGGTTGGGAGGGCCTTAAGTAAGGACAACTGCGTCTTCTTCTTTATGTGATGTTTCTTTTCTGTTTGTGTTTATATATGTATAAACAGGTTGAGCTAAAGGCAGTGTGTTTTGAGTTTGTTGTTGCTCGCTTTTATGTTCACTGGCAATTAACATGAAAGTTGTCATCAATTGAGCTTTATTTTGTGTGAGGTATTGGTTAAAGTTGGTTTTTTTCCTGCTTCGATAGCTCTATTTTGGTGTGTTTGTGCATCTTTGATACTTGAATGGATGTTATTGTAAATAGTGGTCAGTAAACTCATCATAGATTTCCAGATCCTACAATGTTCAATTTTGAATTGGCGTTTGGACAATGATAGGGGATTATATTTGTGTCGATATCTTCTAGTCAGTTTTTCCCGGTCAGTGTTAAAAAAAATTTATTGTAAAAATATGAAGCTAAACTTAATGAGTTTATACATGATCTGTCATATATGAGTATTTGAATTATTTATGTGCTTGCATCATAAACAAGTCGATGTCTGATTGGTATTGAGGATATTTTATTTGCTCCTCCTTTAGAGCAGCACTTAAGTTCCCCCTCCCCACTGTGAGGGAGTGCGAGGGTTGAGGACATTCATATCTGTTGTGCATGTTATCTTTGCCAGAGCTTTACATGGTAACGATTCTACGTAGACTGTTCTGTCCTGTTTCGCTTTGTTTTAGTTGTAGCTGATACAGTTTCAGTTTGTTATGTTGCATCAGCCAAATCGTGGACTTTGATTGCTATTTAGGAAAATGAGGAAGTCCACTGTGTAAACAACTACAAATAATTGTTGACCTGATTTCTTTATATTATTAAAAAATTCTCTGGCTGTTCTTCCATGCTGATGATTGTTGGATGTACTATCATTAGAGCTCATAAACTGTGGAAACGAAGTCTCAGCTCAACACCTAAAATCCGTCTGGATTTTTATGCTTTACACTTTACTTGAGAGTAAAAGTCTGATAATATTTATTGATTCTTTTGGCATGATAATATTTTTAACAAGGGGTTGCATATTTGAGCCTCACCATCCCAAGTTGCTTTATTATGTTCTTCAATCAATGCCACAACAAGGATACACCTATGTCAGAAAGGAAGTGAGAAAAGAAAATAAACTAATGTTTTTTCCTTTCCTTAGAGGGGGCAAAGCTAAGGACAGGTCTTTGCGGTGATATCGCACCAAGACATTGTCACTTTACATAAATCAGAAAGTTTGGACATAAGCCTCCCAAAAATCCAGCACTATTATACAAAGTGGAATATTTTCTTCACATAAAAAATTACAAATTGAACAGAGGAGAGCTTTAACTCTCCGTAGTAGACTTTCAGCTCCTTCAGAAATTCTATTAATCCTTTATTATCATAAACAACAAAGTTGAGTTGATCTCTTTCTTCTTTTTGTCCAATTTCTATGACCAACTTGTGGGAGCTTCTATCACTGTATTTGGAGGGTCCCAAGTTGTATCAACAATAACAAACCCAGTGTAGAGGAGGCTGGTGTGTATGCAGACTTATCCTTAACTTGTGATGGTAGAGAGGTTGTTCCCAATAGACCCCCAACTCAAGTGAAGTATATAAAACAATAAGTATGTAAAGAAGATATAAAGAAGAAGAGAACAATAGCAACAACAAATAAAATGGTAACTGAAGAAAAAAAAACAATAGGTAATACTAATTTTAAAGAATAAGATAGTAGGAGAGTAATACTAACAAAACTGAAAAGGGAACTAGACACACTCGACTACCTACTAACCTTCTACCCTAGAGACTTTCTTATCTTTCTATCTACGGTCATGTCCCTGGTAAGCTGTAAATATGTCATGTTCTGTCTAATCACCTCCCCCGAAGATTTCTCCTACCTACTTCTACCTCTCCTTATACCTACTAAAGTCAACTCTCACACCTCCTCACTAGGGCATCAATGCATCTTCTCCTCACATGCCCGAACCATCTTAGCATCGCCTCCCTTATCTTGTGCCAAATCTTGACCGGCCAACAGTCCACCCCATACAACATAGCGGTTTGACCATCACTTTATACCTTAAGGCATGGTGACACATTCTTATCTTACAAGAATGGGGTGATAAGAATATACCAAGGACTATAACTCTATTGCAGAATGACATTGCAATGTTCTTGTGGGCACCATCAAAACTTCATCCAGATCTGGTTCTTTTTTTTATATTCATGCATGGAAACTGTTGAAACTTGGGGAAAACTGTTGAAACTGTCTCACATCTCTTACTTCTTCCACAAAGAAAGAAAGCTTCTTCTCGAGTTCTCCGTTATTTCATCATTTTCCTGTCTTATCCCTTGTGAATAAACATTTTGCTAAAATGTTATATATATGTTTTTTGTACGGTCATTAAGCCCTTCACATCTACTTGGGAGTTGGAACGTTATGGATTCTTGGTTTACCTTTTGTGAATCCTTCACTTACCAAAATTTTAATTCTTTGCAGTCCCTCGGAATTTCAGATTACTTGAGGAACTTGAACGCGGTGAAAAGGGTATTGGAGATGGGACTGTAAGCTATGGGATGGATGATGGAGATGATATCTATATGCGGTCGTGGACTGGCACCATTATTGGTCCTCACAATGTTAGAGCATTCTTTTCTCTAAGTTCGATTTTAATATGTCTTTGTTGTAGGCAAATGAAATCTTTAATATATTTTCTATTAGTTATTTGAATAATTCCCCAGGACTATTCAATTGCTTGTTTACTATGACATGACAACTTCTTTTCCATCCTTATTATTGTATTCTTATTTCTTTGATTATTAAAGGCTAATTTTCCATGTTTCCAGTCCGTTCATGAAGGTCGCATTTATCAGTTGAAGTTATTCTGTGATAAAGATTATCCAGAGAAGCCACCAAGTGTCCGCTTCCATTCTCGAGTTAACATGACGTGTGTCAACCATGAGACAGGAGTGGTAAGCAATCTATTATTGTATTGGTATTTGGTAGAATGGAATGCCATTTTTGTCATGGAGAAAATTTATATGACACTGCGTTATTTTAATGGTACCTGGAAATCCAAAATATTATGTCGATAATATGATTTTGGCTTGCTATTGTGGAATTTTGAACTTGCATAGTAATTTGCTATTGTAGAATTTAGAACTTGCGTGGTAATTCCTTCTTGTAACATTACATGTATAAGAAATCATAGAAGATTGGAAGTATTGATTAAATGTATTATGCTCTGGGAGAAAGATATTTGTCTAGGGGTTGCTGAGACACACAAAAATTGATCATGAAAAATATTACTATTACTAGTAGAATTGTGATTACATTGTTTCGTGTGTTGATTTACTTTTGATGTCCTTGAGTAGGTATACTCCAAATTAATTCTCTGTTATATTTCTCAAAATTTTCATTGCTTGGCTCAAGCATCCTTCTCAATTCACGTTTAGTCGCTATAAATGCAATATGATATTTTCAAGTTTGGCTTTCGATCTTGACAACATTCTGGACTTGTGTTTTGTATTTGCTCCCGCTTGTCCTGTTGCTTAATAAATTTATGAACCAGTTGACTTGACGAGAAGCCACAACTGTGTCTTGTTGATACAGGTGGAACCAAAAAAGTTTGCTTTACTTTCAAATTGGCAGCGAGAGTACACCATGGAAGACATACTGGTTCAGCTGAAAAAGGAGATGGCTTCTCCTCACAATCGCAAGCTAGTTCAGCCCCCGGAAGGCACCTATTTCTAGCGCATAACGACGACAATCCAAACTTGTGCTGCTGTGTCATGACATTGGAAGTTTAAAAATTTACTAGGGGGAGTGCCTCCTTTTAAGGGCTTCTTGATCACTTTTGCTTTCATCCTTTATGAACTTTGCCACAGTGTGCTGTTTGATTAATGTGTGTCAAATATTAAGAGTAATAGGTTCTTGTGCTGTCTGAATCTTTTGTTTTCCTTCTCCTACGCCCTTTTTCGCTTTGTATTTTATTAACTTAATTCTGTCTTATATCCTTCACTACTTTACTAAAGATGGAACGTAATGATCTTGTTTTGTGTTTTTCGGTTGAAAAGAGATGTCTTGAGCAATCGGAGCCCCCGTCTTCTTTCTTTGCATCTGCATATTGTATGCATAGTTACGCCGATAATGGAACGTAATGATCTTGTTTTGTGTTTCTCAATTGAAAAGAAATTTCTTGAGCAATCAGAGCCCCGATGGAAAAATTACCTAAATGCACAACTTATTTTACCATATTTTCTAAAATTCTCTACCGTTTGAAAAAATTACTAAAATTCCTACTCTCCTATTCTTGAATACATCATTTTACGCGATGTTTAAATGATGTATCAATCGGATATATCACTTAATGTGATGTATAGGGACCTTGAGTGATGTATTCGAAATTGATATGCGATGTATCGAGATATTGAGCGATGCGTCCGAAACTGAGACATGAGGTATCGAGACATTTTGGGATGTATCCGGATCCTTCCAAATTTAAGGAATTTTCGTAATCTAAAAAAGAGTAGAAATAAGATGTAATTAGCTATTGACACTATGAGATTTGTGTAAAAGTCTATATGCATATTGTATGCATAGTTACACTGGTAACTTAACGTGTTGGACCCAAATCATTATCTTAGAGGGGATAAATCACTATTTGGAATATGTTACTATCTGATTACACTGAGTATATTATTATTGTATATTACAATGATTGGTTTGTGGAACACACCAATTTTGTATCCAAAAACAAATATGTACATTTTAAAAAAGAAATATTGCTATAAATCTCGTTTTTTCATTTAGAATCAACACTTCAAAAAGATGATATGAATCGGTGGGGATGACACAATTAATGTGGAAGGTGAGTAATGAGCTTGTTTTCCCTGCTTTCATTAGGGAAGTCATATTCCTTATTTTTTAAAGGAGCTTGGTTTCCTAAAGAATATATCTTACAAATATTTAACCAACTTAACATGAAAAAATTGGAAAAATATTCCGAACACAACCTGAGTATGTTTGTTGTTGCAATAGTTTCAAAAATCACTATGAATTGCAGTAAAATATCAAAGCTACATGACACAGGGGATAAGGAAACTTTGAGGAATGAAATACAAATTTAAATATTATAAAGTCTTCTTAAGAAAAGGTATTAGCTAAAGCCAAAAGCTTAGATAATCAGCTACAACACAAACTTAAAACCTTACCTTCTTCATTTTTTAAACCATAAGCATATCTTAATGAGATAATCCAAACACTAATTCTCTTTACTGCAATTGCTTGTGCAAATGACAGAGCACAAGAGTGAACTAAAACTTGATAAGGGAAGTCACAGACATTGCCATCAAGATTAACTGATCTAATTAAAATATGCCAAAGCCACAACATATTTTAATCAGTAACCTCCATGACTTCCTCATTAGCACTATTATTATGAACATATTAGTAGAGCACAAGAAGAGTCGAAGGTCTATCGGAAACAACCTCTAAATAATGGTTTGCTCTGAGAGCTTCAATATCAAAAAAAGTAAACACCACAAAAGTAGGAAGAACAGCATTTTAAGGTTTGAGAAGGAACTGTTCGCCCGAAATATAAGAAAGCTTCCAAATGAAGTAAACAATTCTTCATGCTATGAGATAAGAGTTTAATATCTAACATAGAATCTTCCTAAAAACAAAACCTAGCTTATTGCTCTGCTGGAAGGGGGGAAAAAACCTAAGCCAGCTAAATGCCAGAACTAGATATTAAATCCCCTATACAAACCAAGCATGTAATTCTACAAAATTAATCTGAGGAACAATTGGGACATGGACATTTAGTTATGTACTTGTTCCCAGGGGATTCTAGGTCGGGGGAACCTCAATTATCTCTAAGATATCTGTGTTTGTGGAAAAATAGTTTTTCAACTTCTGTTTTTCTTCCTTATGTTTAAAGTTGTGTATTCTGACTTGCTTTAACTTATGCCTCCAACAATTCCAAGGTTGAGATGTACAACAAAACTTCTCATCTTCACCTAATGCATCTTCATATGAAAACTGTAAAACCAGAAAACTCAGTAACTATTGAAGAAGAATAAAGATAAAAACTGTCTTCATGAAGAATAATCACGAAATCAATATTAGAGAGGGTTAATTAATGCTTGATATCAACAGTGTATATGCGTGCTGGAACAGATCAAAAGGAAGTTCAGTTTGAGTGGTTTACGAAGCATGATTTTCAATCATCATCATCATCAACAACAACATACACAGTGAAATCCCACTAAGGGAGTCGGTGCTTTTGAAAGATAAAAGTATTTACCTCAAGGGTGTTCAAGTCGAATTTGGAATAAGATAGGGTGTCCAATTGAGGAGAAAGCCAGAAAATACCATCAAGAATATCTACAACTGAATAACTTATTAATGGACTATGAATGCGTACTTTCACGCGATTAGTTCCATAAAGGGGAGGAAACAAGTGTTCTCTCACGTCTTTTGGTATAACTAGCCCCTGTATTAGCAAAAAGAAACAACTTTTGAGAAATCCATAACAATATAGTATTAACTAGCTAGTTAAAGAATTTCTGGGACATACCTTTTCACTTTTGCATGTTAATTCAAGAGCCATGGAATGATTGAAGTTATCAAGAAATTTCACAAGCTTAGAGTACCAATCACTGTTAGGGGTTTCTCCTCCTTCTGAGTCGAATTTGATATTGGCTTCCAATGAAGCTGAAGCTTTTAGTTTCAAATTCGGCAATGAAGAACAATCATACGAGAACTCTATCAAATTAGGAGTGTCTAATTCAATAGCAATCACATTATCACAACGATATACTCTCAACTGTTTGAGAAAGACGCCTGAGATTTTCACAGTCTTTAACATGTCGCAATCACCTAAATCCAACTTCTCTATATTCTTAAGGCAGGTAAAAATTTCGTCAAACCATTTTTGGGTCATGGCCACACCATTGAGGCCATTGAGCTGCAAACTCTTAAGGGCTTTGCAACAATTAGTAATAATAACTACATTTAGATCACTCTCATTCTTAAAGTAGTCGGAGCTGAGGTTGGAGCCATAGACGTCAAGATCTTCAATATTAGGTGATCTAATATCAACAAATCGTAATTTTGAATAATACGCTGTCACCTGTAGCTTTTTCAATTTAGGTAAACTAGTTTGAAATCTAGTAAGCCCTTTCAAGCCCCGCACCATGAAAACCTCTAAATTGATACAACTTGTGCATAAAGCTTGCATAAACTCCTCGTCGAAATATACACATTGAAGGTGTAACTCTCGCAAAGATGATGAAAACATAATAGTACTATTAGATGGCAATTTAATATGAAATTCACTCAATTTCAACACTTTTAGTGCTTTGGCATTAAAAATTGCCTCAGGCAATTTCGTGTATCCGTTTCTGGTTGATCTTAAAACTAGGTTTAACTCTTTGATCTTACAATCTACGAGTGTATCAATCCAATTGGAAAACAGACTACTCCATTGTTGATTTATGTGTAGCGAAAACTTTTCTACAAAAATCTTTTGATTTTTCCGATAAGCTAGAATTGAATCCACAGCTTTCACAAGTTTTTCTATTGGCTTGTTTAAAAAATACCTCTCAAAATTTAAACAGGGGAGTGAATTGTATGCATTTTTCCAAGTCGTTGATACTCCACTCATTCGTGCAGCTTCTTCAAAAGGAAGGAAAGACAAGATGTGCTCTAACATTCCCGCCGGTAACTGCGAAATTCGATCAAAATTAGGTGCCGCCGGCGAAATTCGATCCATATTAGTTGCCGCCGGTAACTGCGAAATTTGATTCATATTTTCTCAGGGAAACCCTTTTGTCAAAGTTTCGAGGGAACTTACAGAATTTATATCCAAACACTAATCACGTAGATAAGATAAAACGAGTATTTTAAAATTAAATTATTATCAAATATAAAAAATATCATTATTTTTATATTTCCGAAATTGATTAAAAAACAATGAGTCATATAAATAAATTAAGATTGAGGAATAATAAATTCAACTACTCAGAAATAAATTGTACACATTTGAAATTAGGATATAACATGAGATTATTTTATGAAATAATTTCATAAAAGCATAATTATCTAACCACATATTTTGGTCCTCAATGTCAAATATTTATCAATATATAAAAAGTGTATAAAATTTGCTTTCATTGGCTAAAGTTTAGTCTAATTCTTAAACCCAGTTTATACACAAATTACATACACTAATATGTATTTATCTTGGATTCTTTAATGTATGTACTAAGTTATTATTGTATAGAAGAGTGAAGCCAACCAACGACCAGTGGCAAAACGGAAAATAAATCAAACATAGAAGGGCAAATATCAGTGGCACAACGGATATTAAATCAAAAATACAATGGCAAATTATAACTTCTATACTAATGAAGAGTGAAGCCTACCAACGACCAGTGGCAAAACGGAAAATAAATCAAACATAGAAGGGCAAATATCAGTGGCACAACGGATATTAAATCAAAAATACAATGGCAAATTATAACTTCTATACTAATATATAGAAATATATATATATTGATATCTGTGCACTCCTGGTCAAAGGAAGGTTGTATTTTTCTTTTTTTATATGACCAAGGGTAGTTTTGTCAAACAAAAAATATTTCAAGCTTAGTTTTAAGTGTACATTGTGCATAAAGTAGTAAAATTTCCAAAAAAACCAACCAAAATTTATGTAATTCCCAATGAATCCATCACTAAGTCAATAGTTGTGGATTTTAATGGGCACACGTGTACCAATACATTGGGAGGAGTAAAAGAAATCATTGCAAAGTTACATGGACCCCATTTATTGATTTACTTCAAAACCATGTACATTCAAGCTGATAAATTTTTTTAAAAATTCTTTTTTATTTTTGAATGTATAATTTTTAATGAGATTTTTTCATATCAAAAATTCAAATTTGAGGGCATTTAATCATTTCCTTTCTTAGTGTGGTTTGATCATGAAAAAATACTGTTTATTTTATTTAAAAAATTTATAGTTGAAGTCATGTTTGGTTAAATTTTATGCAAAAAATATTTAGAATTTAAATATACTTTTTTCTAAAGGCATAATATATAAATATGTCATTTAATTTGTTTCATCTAACATGTCCTTCAATTTTAGATATCCATAAGTAGACACATAAACTTGTATAGAATTGAACAAGTTGACACTTGTGTCCTACTTGACGTCCTATGTGACAATATAATTCACGTCCTATGCGATATTTTATGTGGCTCCCACGTGTGTTATTCCCCGTAGGACGCGTGTGTCTACTTCTTCAACTTTATAAAATTTTAAGTGCTTACTTGTGCACTCCCTAAGTTGAATGTCATAGATGTCAGACGAAGTCAAGTTAAAAGATATATTTATATATTATGTTTTTCTAAATATGGTTTATATTCCTCAGTTTCTAAAAATTACTTGACTAATATACCTGAGACGTACAACCAAATTGCAATAAAAAAAAGTAATATCTCAAAATAGATAGTTGTATAATGTCATAGATTAGATCTCATATAAGAACTACCACATACTATAACAAAAAAATATCACTTTATTTAAAATTTTTGAAGTTGAACTTGTGTCAAGCTATTGATTTTGCAAATTATATTTGATTATTTGAATGTGTTTTTTTTTAAAAATAAATAAACTAATATGAAATATAATTCAAATGGGGCCATTTTTATAAGAATAAAGAATTTGTGATAAATTTTAAAAAGGATAATATAGTTAGGGGCTGTTTGGTTATTGGTTAGACTTACGCAGTTTTTAGTAATGCATGGTTTAGTTATGTAGGATTTAGTTATGTGGTATTAATTATGTTGGTGTTAATTATGCAAATATTAGTTATGTAGGTATTACTTAGTTATGTAGAGATTACAATACATAAATTATTAATTATTGAATATATTATTTACAAATAAATAAGCAAGCAAATAGTATAATTTCCAAAAAAAAATAAAAATAGAAAGAAATCTTCTCTATACTTAAGTGGGAATTCTATTTATTTTTTCTCTCTCTATTTTTTTTTTTAATGTTTAAAGCTTATAAAAATAAAATACCATAAATATATTTCAAGTACATTATAAAATCCTATTTTATATAATGTAAATTTCTATCAAGATGCTGCATGTATTGTTTGTACATTTTTAGTATACCAAATATATGAGTTATATATAAATTTATATTCCAAATAAAAAAACAATACATAATAATTAAATATGTGGAATATATTTAGTAATATATGGTGATAATATATGATTAGCATATGCGTTGTCAAAATTATACATTCCGATTCATCATATTAATAAAATATTTATATTTTGATTTCAAATGAAAACAAATAAAAAATTGTTCGTATACAAAAGAAATAAGAAACAAAAATAGCTAGGAAAATAGAATAGTTATGTAAAGTTTTTTCTAGAGTTTTCAATATAAAAAGGTAATAGGGATAAATGTGTAGTTTTTTTAATACATGTATAACTAATACCCTCATAACTTATTCCATCTTTTATCATGCATAATTTATACATAGATTCCCTCATAAGTTATGTAGGTATCAATTATGTAGGATTACAAAAAATGTAACCATACACCGTATAGAATTAATACAAGAATAACTTTTATACAATATTGAGAAACGTATCAACCAAACATGGTAAGTCATGTTGGCTTTTCTACCTAATAGGAAAATAGAATAGTTATGTAAAGTTTTTTCTAGAGTTTTCAATATAAAAAGGTAATAGGGATAAATGTGTAGTTTTTTTAATACATGTATAACTAATATCCTCATAACTTATTCCATCTTTTATCATGTATAATTTATACATAGATTCCCTCATAAGTTATGTAGGTATCAATTATGTAGGATTACAAAAAATGTAACCATACACCGTAAAGAATTAATACAAGAATAACTTTTATACAATATTGAGAAACGTATCAACCAAACATGGTAAGTCATGTTGGCTTTTCTACCTAATACAAAATTTCTACCAAATATAGTAAAACATATACAACTTTTTATATATGAGAAAAAAATGCATCTTATACGGTAACCAAACGGCCCCTTAAAGTATTAACAAGGTTTTGAATGTTTTTCAAATTTCAAATACAACTTTAAGTTATATTTGTAATTTTCATAATCAGATGTTGATTTTCAAATAAAGTGAAATAAAAAGATTATCTATTTCTTTGTGTTAATTTATTTTTCATATCTATTAAAAATAAATAATTAAAAATAATTTTATTATCTTAAAATAAGATATAATTTTATTTTATTTTTCATGTTTATACTACTCTAAATGTGAAAAGAATATCATCAAATTAACTGTTTAATTATGTTTGACATTATGTTAAAATAACCATTGGTGCATATTATATTGTATTGTTAATTAAGACAATTTAAATAAGTTACAAGTTATGATTTGATAAAAATATATGTTTATATATATATATATATAATTAACTGTTTAATTATGTTTGACATTATGTTAAAATAACCATTGGTGCATATTATATTGTATTGTTAATTAAGACAATTTAAATAAGTTACAAGTTATGATTTGATAAAAATATATGTTTATATATATATATATATATATATATATAAATTATTATTATTATTGTTATTAATATAAAGTGTGATTTTATTATCATTTACTATCGTTTTTATTAGAAAATATTAATGATAATTTTTCTTTTCAAAAAATTAATTAAATACCTCTTAAATTTGTAATATTGGGCCCGTTAACGGGCCCTTTCATATCTAGTATTAAAATAAGTGTCAAACTTTATTTTTTCTATGAGATTTTGATTTGTTGAAATATGCTTTTATACCCGTTCTATATGCTACATTTTTTCAAAACAAGAAAAAAAATCACACGTGGAATACCTTATGCCTTTATGGTGAATCAAAATTGAATAAAACGATTGCTTTTCATGATTAGAATTAAAATTTCTTCGGTACCTAGCAAGATGCTAAATTCCTGATTAGAAAAAGCTATGTATTTTAATGAACTTTCACAGCAATAAGGAAGAAGGTACGTTAACAAAATTGTTGAAAAAAAATCGTTGATCAATCACAATAAAAAAGTGTGACCAACTGATGGAGAGGAAATCGAGGGATTGATAATGATGCTAATTTCAGTCGAACTTGTAATATTCACTCTTAAATACGTTATTTACGCTTTTTATTTCTCACTTTATCAATCCAAAGCCAGACCCACAAATCATATTTGGCCCAAATAATTTTCTGGCCCAAAAATCTCCCAAACCCGGCCCACTTCTCTTATTCCCAATCCAAGACCCGACCCTTTTCTCTTTCAGCAACAAATCAAATGAACCCTAAACCTCTGTAAGCCGTCCCATTTTTTCCCCTTTAACCTAAGCTGATTTCAAGCCCAGAAGGATAGGATTACAACTGTTGAGGTTTGTTCTGGGAATTTCTCTGAGCTGTACGAACCCTAATTGTGGTAAGTTTTTGCGATTTTTTGGATTTTTATTTCAAATTTGTACAAAATCGTACCATTTCCAGCTTGCAATGTTATTCTGAGTCTCACATCGGAAATTTACATCTCCGGCAGGGAAAAATGTCATCATCAGTTATAGGTCGCTGCCATTTCGGCGTTGAAGCTGCCGGAACAAAGAGGTATGTTGATGGAGATCAATACATATAAAAATTGCTGAGTGATAAGATGATTGCTTTTGGTACACTTTCTTAGCTTGTACACTTATAAAAAGCCATAATTTGCGTCATAAAAGTATGTGCTGTGAAATGATTA